AGTTGACTCTGTGGAGTACATATTTTTTAATTAACTCTTCGGAGAGAAGAGAAGAGGAACATTTTCTATTTTATATAAAAAATCTTAATTTTTGCAGAAAACTGATTAATGAAGAAAAAAATTAATTCACGACCTCAACGAAGATCTTAAAAAAATTACTGCAAGAAATGAAGTTGTTGTTATTATATACCATATTGTACAATCCCACACAGCACTGCAATATTGCAGCAATATTGAAGCAATATTATAATATCGTAGCAATATTACAAAATCACAAGATTATTATATAATATTCCAGCAATATTATCACAATATTACAGAGTGATATATCAGATTACAATATCACTGGAATATTACTGAAGTGTTACAATGTGACTATCGTATTGGCAACATAGTGACAATATTACAACAATATTGCGAGATGATAAATCTCATTGCAATATCACAGGAATATTGCAGCTATATTCCAGCATGATAGACCGCTACGTAATATTTCGCGATATTCTGAATATCGCAGTAATACTTCAATGTGATCTATCAATCTACAATATCGCAGGAATATTATAACAATGTTGCGGAGTGATATATCAGATTACAATATCACTGGAATATTACTGCAATGTTACAATGTGACTATCGTATGGCAACATAGTGACAATATTACAACAATATTGCGCGATGATAAATCTCATTGCAATATCATAGGAATATTGCCGCTATATTCCAGCATGATAGACCACTATGTAATATTTCTGAATATCGCAGTAATAGTTCAATGTGATATATCAATCTACAATATCGCAGGAATATTATAACAATGTTGCGGAGTGATATATCAGACAGATTGAATAAATCTGCATTATAAAGTGAAAAAACGTTAGAAAAATCGATATAAGATGAAATTCGTGATTTCGGCTGCAATGTTGAGTCCGCCATATTGAAAAAAAATTTAGAAAAAAAACTACCCACATATTTTTAAGGTACAAATGTTAATAACGCGATCTTTGTAGTTTCCGGTATAAAATAACAATTTTTTTTAAGAAATGAATGATTTTCATAAAAGACAGACTGAAGAAAATACGCCGTTTTGTTTAGATCTATTAGGAACGCAAAAAAGTTCTGAGCCCTAGATTTCATACTACTGAAACCACAATTTAAATTGCATTAATTTTCCCGCCCTCTTGTGGTTTTAAAGCAGTGACATTTGGTCTTTCGAAACATTGTGCGATTTGGCGTTTGATGCACATAACCTTAAAATCAGCAGTGTTCACGATGGCAATAACAAAAGAGCATATTCGATTTTCCATCCACTTCGCGTTTCATCTGAAGAAAAATGCTGCTGAAGCCACTGAAATGATCTGTGTTGCATATGGAGAGAACGCTGTAAGTTATGCTACGTGTAAAAGGTGGTATCAAAAATTTCGCCAAGGAGATTTCAGTCTTGAAGATGAACCGCGTGCTGGACGCCCTCAAAAGATTGAAACGGACGAACTGCAAGCATTGTTGGATATAAACTCTGCACAAACTGAAAAGGAGCTTGCAGAGCAACTTGGCGTTACGCGACAAGCCATTTCCACACGTTTACATGCAATGGGAAAAGTTCAAAAGGAAGGCAGATGGGTTCCGCATGCACTGTGCGAAGACAACAAAAATCGACGGCGTGACATGGGACTCACTTTGCTTTCAAGGTTCCGGAAAAAGGATTTTCTGTAGCAAATCATTACAGGTGATGAAAAGTGGATACTTTATGATAATCCGAAGCGTAAAAAATCATGGGTTGACCCTGGTCAACCTTCTTCATCCACGCCAAGAAGGTTTTGCTTTACATATGGTGGGAATGGAAAGGTGTATTGTATTACGAGTTGTTACCGAGCCGGGTGAAACAGTAACGGCAGATCGCTATCAGCAACAATTGAGCAATTTGAGCGATGCGTTTGAAGAAAAGAGGCCATTTACTGGCAAAGGACGTCGTAAAGTGATACTGCTTCATGACAATGCCCGACCACATGTTGCGAAAGTGACTCAGGACCATATCTTTGCGTTAGGCTGGGAACTTCTCCCGCACGCGGCGTATAGCCCAGACATGGCGCCTTCCGATTACTACCTATTCCGGTCTCTGCAGCATTTCTTGGCTGATACACATTTTGTGACACTTGAAGAGATACGAAAATACATTGATGACTTTATCGCCTCGAAGCCGGTGAGCTTCTACCATCAGGGAATTCGCAAGCTGCCCGAAAGATGGCAAAAGGTCATCGATGCAAACGGGGAATATTTCGTTGATTAATATAGTTTTGTTTGTTTTTAAATAAATTTTGAATTTTGCAAAAAAAGGCTCAGAACTTTTTTGCGCTCCTAATAAATGGTCAAATCGTAAAAAGCTTACCCGAAAACTCTTAAAAAAATTATTCCCGAAAAGAATTATTAGCGATTTCTTCAATATCTGTTAGCTCAAAGTTTATAGTCACGCTATTGACGGTTGCTGTACTCAGTTTCAGAATCCTTTACTGAATAAGACATAAAATTTTTTCGATTTGCGAAAAGTTCTTATTGAGAACTTCTATTGTCAATATAAACATCAATATAAACATTATTCTTTATGCTATCATTATATTTATATTCCTATTATTCCTATTCCTATTATTGAAAATTGTCTTATATATATATATATATATATATATATATATACGTTAATATTACATCTGTATTTTTATTATAAAAATGATAATGATAAGATACTGATTTTAATAAAAACTTTTTAGCAATTATGGTTTATAGCATCTTACAAATCTTATAAAATTTATGATTCTGAAGCTATGATTACAGAAAATATTTGCGTTTTGACTTAACAGATGAGCGATATATTAGGCAATATCACTGGAATATTACAATATCACTGGAATATTACTGCAATGTTACAATGTGACTATCGTATGGCAACATAGTGGCAATATTACAACATTATTGCGCGATGATAAATCTCATTGCAATATCACAGGAATATTGCCGCTATATTCCAGCATGACAGACCGCCACGTAATATTTCTGATTATCGCCGTAACACTGCAGTGTGAAACAATTTATATACAGAGTGTCCCATTTTAATGTCACATCACAAATATCTCAGAAACATTGCGTTAAATCAAAAAATGTTTCAGACAAAAGTTGTTTGGCTTGAAGGAGGACAAGAAAGCGATAGCATTTTGTTTATAAATGGCGCCACTTTTGAGATATTCACTGACAATCAATTTTCATAAATGGAAATCCGAATTTTTTATTATATTTTCTTTTTCTATCAATTAATTTGAACAATTTTTGTCTGAAACATTTTTTTATTTGGTTAATATTTTTTGAGATATTTAAGGAAAACTTTTCAACATTTAACTTACGATATCTCGCTAACTATTCGTCGAAAGAAAAAATAGTATTAGACTTTTTTACTTTACTTACTATCAAGAATATATTATTATAATAGTGCCCTAACTTTTGTTAACTTATCGACCTTTGGAAATTTCAAAATTATTAAATTAACAAAAGTTAGGGCACTATTAATATATTCTTGATATTAAATAAAGTAAAAAAGTCTAATGCTATATTTTCTTTCGACGAATAGTTAGCAAGATATCATAAGTTAAATGTTGGAAAAATTACCAAGTTTTCCTTAAATATCTCAAAAAATATTAAACAAATAAAAAATGTTTCAGACAAAAGTTGTTCAAATTAATTGGTAGAAAAAGAAGATATAATAAAAAGTTGGGATTTTCATTTATAAAAATTGATAGTCAGTGAATATCTTGAAAGTGGCGCCATCTATTAACAAAATGCTATCGCTGTCTTATGTCCCCCTTCAAGTCAAACAACTTTTGTCTGAAACATTTTTTTATTTAACGCTGTGTTTCTAAAGCGTGGTCTACAATGGCCGTAAGCAATAAGAAGAAAACGTGAACAGTAAGAAATGGACCAACCACAGTTGATTATTTTTGTCATAATCGACTGTGATTGGTTTATTTCTTACTGCTTACGCTTACTTCTTACTGCTTACAGTCATTGTAGACCACGCTTGAGATATTTTTGCGAGATTTATGCCTAGGACATTAAGTATTTTTGCAATATTGCTGTGATATTTATGCAATATTTCAGTAATATTCCTGCAATATTGCAGCAACATTTAAGAAATATTGTAGCAACATTCCTGCACGATTGCAGTAATATTTCGGCAATATTTTGCAATTTTTCTGCAATATTGTGGCTATATTTCATAGGTATTCCTGCAAGATTGTGGCGATATTTCAACAACATTGTGGCAATAGCCCTGTGATATTGTGACAATATTCCTACAACATCATAACAATATTCCCGCAATATTTCTGCGAGACTTATGCCTAGGACATTAAATATTTCTGCAATATTGTTGTCATATTTATGCAATATTTTAGTAATATTCCTGCAACATTTCTGTAATATTCCTGCAATATTGCGGTGCTATGTGGGATATTAAAACATACGCGCAATAATTATCTATAATTTGCATATATGGGCTATTATGTAATTATAAGTAATATAAAAGTCATGACAAATTAATGTGGCCGCATGTTATCACTGTCGCGTCATTGCTAGAAATCGTCCGAACTCTCAAAATTATTTTCTTCCCGAATTATGAATATAAAACAATGTGGAAAGGAAAATAAGGGGGTGAAAGGGGAGACGGCTACGTCTGCCTTACGATAACATCGCTGCTGGCTCGCTTCGTCGCGATTGTCTATTCGCTGGTGGTGAGACAAAGACCGATTCTTCTTTTTTATCTAACTAATCTAGCTCGCTCGTGAACATAGCACAGAACAGAACCAAATAATTATGGACATAGCACGGAATAGTACCGACAAATCGTGGACATTGGCTTAGTAGTTCATGTCCATGAAAAATGGGCCCAGTTGGCGCTGCGAATCAGCCAACTTTTCCATAACGCTGTAAATGCAGCCATAACCGCTCTTTCAGGCTTCTCTCTGTATATACACATATGTGTACCAAAATTCACTAACGTCGATAACGATGAAACGTTCCCTACTTTTTGACGATCGCCTCTACGTTATCGACACTTTGCAAGTTCGTTGACGACTCCAGCATCTCCTTAATTTCAACCTATAATATATCGATTAAATACCTTTCGTAGGAATAATTCGTTCTCGAGCAATCAAAGGTTGTGAAACCATTGAAATCGCGACAAAAAATAAGTCGATGAAGCGAACAAGAGCAGCTGCAAGAAATCAGCAACAACATGCAATTGAGGAGAATCCTGATGAAGGAGTAAAGTTGATGAAGATGCAAATAACTCCAAAAGTTTGTATTATCTTTGATGTTTTTATAACAAGTTCTAACTCACTTTTATGGACAACATTACCTACTTTTATAATAGTCAAAAGAATATTTAACAGTTAATTTATCAAGAATAATAATTTCTCATTATATTATGCAAAATCAATGTTATACAAGAAGATTAGAGTTAAACTTTGATGTTACTTTATATGTTAGGATAATTAAAAAAAAATAATGTGCAAATGTTACAGTTTATTTGTATATTATATTATAAATTTAAGATGCTACATATCTCTTTCATATAAATACACATTGTTTTTTGTTAGGTGGAATCGAGTGGAAAATCCAAATTAAACCTAAATTCCTTGTGGAGTCAAGATAGCAAAAATGTGCATAATATGGCTAATTTTTATACTGCTAAATCTTCCGAAAAGTTGCAAAGCATTCAAGGAAAGCCAAAGACAAAAATTCCTGTTAAAAGTTAGTAGTAAGTTCTATTTATTAATTATAAGATTGCTATTTTTATAGATGTGTTTGTCAAAAAGTTGTTTTATAGATCGAGATGAGGGATTGAAACTAAATACAAAAGTAAACAAAGGAATACCAAGAGCTGTTGTGGACTTGCAAGTGATGAAAGAGGAATTAAAACAATTGGAAGACCCTCCTATAACACCTTGGGAGAAGGAATTGTCCGCTGGAAGATTGCGATATGAGTTCTTTGATATTCCCTGCGAGGAACTTGCACAGCAGTTATTAGGTTCCATAGCGAACATTATATTTTCTATAATTCATTCAAATATTTATTATATCCCTAACAGTAGTCAATTATATTAAGTATTATATGAAGTAGTTATACTTACTGAAATACCTCTGATGTGTTAACAGTTAAAGACAAATCTTTTATCTTCTCTGTAGGTAAAGTGCTTGTACGTTATCTCAAGAATGGGACCATTCTCAAAGGTAGAATAGTGGAGACTGAGGGATACTTGGGTGCAATTGACAAGGCATCTAAAACTTATCAGAACAAAGTTACACCTTGTAATATACCGATGTACATGCCACCAGGAACCATTTACGTTTATATGACATATGGCATGTATCATTGCTTCAATATTTCTAGCCAAGGTGAGTGCTACCATATGAAATTCTTTCTTTCACCATATGTATAAAATATTTTAGTTTCTTTCTGCATAAAATTATCCGATATCATTAACATTATACAATTAAGAAAGCAAACAAATATTACATTCGTAATTCACTAATAACAGAAAGAGAAACGTGAAAAATACCACATATATGTATTTTAATAATGTTGAAGTGAATCTAAGATGAAAAGTTATATCATCATGCAAGCTTTGTAATAATTCGTTCAAACAGTTTTTAGGATATAATTGTGATTTCTATGTACAATTAATATTTCAAAATCAAACCTCTCTCTCTCTCTCCCCTCTCCCCCTCCCTCCCCCCTCTCTTTCTCTCTCTCCCTCCCTCCTGGACTATATTATTTATTTACAAAAGCTAAGAGAACTAATTGTGTAAATATTATAATTGTGATATTTTATGATTGCTAGTCAGATTTTTTTTATATTCGAAAATCTACAATTTAGCTAAAATTTAGTTCTCTTAGCTTTTGTAAGTAAATAAAATAGTCAAGAAGAGAGGGAGAGAGGAGAAGGGGAGGGAGGGAGGGTGGTTTGATTTTGAAATATTAATTGTACATAGAAATGCGATACTATCGATGTCATAATACTCTAAATAACGTTATTATAGTGCTATAGTACGTAAATAACGTTTAGAAGCGAATGTGTATGTATTAATTAGAGTGATGGAACTGTTAGTGGGCTTAGAGTACATGCAATTGCTAAGAAATATGCAGGTTAAGGATAGAAGAGAAAAGCAAATTATGAGATGTACGACGCGCTTAAAGCAATACAAGCTTTGTAATCATTTGTTCAGGATTTGCGATGCGTTTGCGATCGACCAGGACGCTTTCGATCGAAAATTTGCTTATGCGTGTAATAGTCTATAGCTTGAGAATCAGTCCTTTGCAAGATCTCTCACTATAGTGGTTATACTACCAAAAAATCATCAAAAGATCAATTCAGATTCGAACGATATCTACGTTAGAAAAACGCGATATTACGTGTTGGGAAGCGCCAACGTTAACGAGAATTCCGAGCGCGAAAAACATGCTTATATTGCAGTGAATTAAGTTTTGCAAGTCAAACCTACAGCTCTTTAATTTGAATTGTAGATCCGAATAGTTAGCTTCAAAGTTTCTATTACAAAAATTTTCTGCTACTACAAAAGCTTTATCTTAATTATAAAAAGAAGTGTAGATTCTTATACTTATATTGGGACTTTGAGAAGAGCTCTTTTTTATTTTACCATTGGTAAGATCTTAGGTGTCGGATGTGCGGTACTGGTGCGAGCAGTCGATCCTCTGATTGGTATCGGACACATGGCTGATCAGCGGAAGCTGTCGGAGACGAGGAAAGCAAGTTTAAAACCGCATGAACTGTGCAATGGCCCATCAAAACTCTGTATGGCGTATCAGCTTGACAGGCAGCACAATAAGTACTCTGTTTGTACCTGGAAGTCTCTGTGGATTGAAGATGACGGCGCGTTGTCGGACTTTAGGATTATCAGGTCCGCTAGAATTGGAATCGACAATAGCGGCCCGGAGTGGGCTAGTAAGCCCTTGCGTTACTACGTCTACGGTAATAAGTCCGTTAGCAAGAGAGATACGAAGGCAGAAATGGAGATAGTTTCTTAACAATTTATGGCTGATTTTGACGATTTTATCAAAGCCAATTCATACTTTTTTCATGCTTTTACACAGAAATAGATCGATGTCGGCATATTGATTTTAATAATACTTTAAATTTAAGTCTTTATAAAACAGAAAAACGATGTTTGTTATTTGAATCCGGATGTTAGATATTACCACTAATGAATATAGAACGCAAACTTGCTGTTAGGGGAATAAATCAGTATTAATGGTACTATCAACACGTAAAGAATCTTATTTAAATTACAGAGTAATGACTAAGTTAATTGTATAAGAACTAAAAAAATTGTAGAAATAATAAACAATTATATTGAGGAATTAAATTATATAAACGCATAAAAATCTACCAGGGAAGGTAAAAAAGCCAATATAGGATATTTTGATACTTTGGGATATGATATTTAATTAAGTTTTCTTGATGTTATACGTAAATTATATATGTTTATCTTTCCAGCATGTAAATAAAATAAATTATTCGGTTTTAGCTGTAATCAATTAATTAAAATAGCCGAAATAGTTACAATGATGAAGTCAGCTTATTCAGGGGGGGGAGAGAGAAAGAGAGAGAGAGAGAGGGGGAGAGAGAGAGAATGCTAAACTTCAGAAGATCAATTCTAAGAGCCTCCTGCCAATGTCTCCTAAGAAAAATGAGCATGCTGTATCACATTTTTTACAGAAAAGCTTTCTCACGCCCATTCCTTCATTATACGTTCGTAATCTTCTTCCTCGATAAATGGTTTATCTATCGATCTGCAAAAAATATCAATCATCGTGTTAATTAACCGAGACAAAATTATTCTCAAAATATAAAATTTCAGAATTTGAATCATGCGATCTAAAATACCAAAATCTCAAAATTCAGAAACCCAGAAGTAAAAATTAAAAACATTTGGACATTTCTCAAATATTTCATGGATTTTAAGAATTTCTGAGATCAGAAATACACGTATACATTTCCGAATTAGTTAAACATAAATAGCCAGATGAATACATACAAAATACGCACAATATCGCATGAAAATATACGCGTATTAATGCTAAATTGGTAAATTTTAGATCAGGTGGAGTTATTCGATAATCAAACATACTCTATCATAAGCTCTCCGCAATAGAGACATTCTGACGCGATCAATTCGTCGATATCGGCTTTGATCTGGTCTCTTGTTGACAAGGCCACAGAAGCCACCGATGCAGTATCCTCGGGCCGATTTGAGATGGCTGTAAGTTGCCGTTGTAGATCCGCCAGTTTCGTTCTCTGATCCATAGACAGCATCGGCGTCAATGTCGCCACTAAACAATCGCTATGAAACTTGTGACCGCAGGGAAACACGTAGAATGGTCGTAATAGTAATTGTACTTCACACGTGTTGCATGCATCCCTTGCATGTACAAAGGTACATCTGAAAAATAACGTTTACCATTGGATCGATAGAACAAATATGTTACAGCTGAATTAAAATGATATTGTATATAATATAACATAATATCGCTCAATTCAGCTGTAGCAAGCACATTACAGAAGACAGAAGCTGTCTTCTTTCACGACGGCAGTCGTGGGGCGCCGGCGGAGACCCGGGTGGACGGAGTCCGCGTCCGCGTCGGGCCCACGATCAAATATCTGGGCCTGACGCTGGACGGCCGATAGGATTTTGGGGCCCACTTCAAGGGCCTGGCCCTCCGGGTCCGGAAAATAGGGCTGGCGTTAGCCAGCCTGATGAAAACCCAGGGGGACCCCGGGTGGCACGCTCGCCGTCTCTATATCGGGGTGGTGCTCTCGATCGCCCTCTGCGGGGCGCCCCGGCTTATAGTTTCTGACCGCGGCAAACGGCTACTACGCCAAGCCATGCGATCGGTGGTCGTGAGGGCGATCAGGGGATATCGCACCATCTCGTACAGGGCGGCGACGGCCCTAGCCGGCTCCCCCCCCTGTGAAGCTCCTTGCCGAGGAGTGGCACATCCTCTACTGGAGAGTGGAAGAGCTCCGCGAGGAGGGGGAAGGATTATCGGCCAGAGGCCTGAGGGCCCTAAGATCCCAGGCCGGAGCCCGAGTCCTGGAACGGTGGTCGGCCATACTGGACGACTCCCGGGGATTCTCCGAACGGCCGAGGCCGTCCGCCCCTGCCTGCCAGAAATGGCAGGCAGAAGGGGACGCGGGTTCATCTTCCATCTGGTGCAGGTGCTGACCGGGCATGGGTGCTTCGGTCGGTACCTGCATCGGATCGGAAGGGAGCCCACTGCGGAGTGCACTACTGCCCGGCGAGGGAGGACACGGTGCGGCACACCCTGGCTGAATGCCAGGCGTGGGAGCCACAGCGCCGTGTCCTCGCCCGGGCGGTGGGGTGTCCAGAGGGGGCCCTCTCACTCCCGCGCATGCTTAAAGCTATGTGTGGGAGCGAGGAGGTATGGGGAGCGGCGGTCTCCTTTTGCCGGGACGTAATGTCTCGCAAGGAGGTCGCCGAGTAGGAGCGCAGCCCCGCAGCATCGCAGGGAGCGATGAGGGGGGGGGCGGCGCTCCACAGGGATGGGGAGCGGACCCGAGGTGGCGCCGGTCGAGGAGCGGCTTCCGATTCCTCGGAGACCTCCTCGGCCGCTTCGGGCCCGCCTTCGACGGCGCGATGGGAGTGGGTGAGCGGGTCGCACTCGCCCACCCACGGTGAGCATCGTGGCAGGGAGAAGAGGAGTGGGGCTTGGTTAGGCCTAGGCCTCATTCTTCTGCCCCCCTACCCAGTAGGGAAGGGGGGAGGCGGGGCAAGGAGGAAGGGCGGGTGTCCCCCCTCCATAATTTAGACCAGAAGGCCAACCCGGCTGGGTAACCGGCCGGGGCACCGCGCCCTTAACTCCCTTTGTGGGGAGGGGGCGCGGTATTTGGGCGTGGGGCTTCCGGAGAGCCCTGGGGCCGGGGTGTTGGGGAGGGAATGCAGGCGTAGTTCCCCTAACACCCCTCATTACGGTCCGATCGGTAGGCACCCCCGCAGGGGGTTTTAGTCGGTAGGAGTCTGACATAACCCCCCCCAGGGGTGGGGTATCCATAATGGATTTCCCCTGCGTGACCAAAAAAAAAGCTCTAGCACATTTACATGCAAAAAGTTATGGAAAGTGACAAATTATTTCGGAAAGGTCTTCCATCAGTCTCACCTAGATCTGAAGGTCTGGATATCCTTTCTGATTAGTTCCGCTGCTTTCGTGGCTTCCTGCATCTCTTCTTTGAGATCTTGTATGTGCTGATTGTACTCCTATCGCGTTAAGAGAAAACAAAAAAGCAATTCACAAGAAAATTTTTGAATTTGTTCGTCAGGTTTGAAAATCACCTTTTTCGACTATACAGGACGCACGATTTATCTGAAGACATTGAAATATCTCGAGAACTATGCATTGGATAAAAAAAAGTGGTTAATGAAAGTTGTTAGTCTCGAAGGAGGACATCCAATGATACCAAACTCGACATCCCACCCCACCCCCTGGGGGTGGGGGTTGGGGGCAACTTTGAAATCTTAAATGGAAACCCCCATTTTTTATTGCAGATACGGATTCTACGCCACAAAATACGTAAATTTTGTCCGAAACTTTTTTTTTGATTCGTGATAGATGGCGCTGTAATCGCAAAAAATTATATTTTCCGCAATTCTCCAGAAATGAACATTGGATTGAGAAATAAAAAATACCTGTTCAATATTTTTAAAGAACATAATAAAAGTTATTTCCCCCCCATCCTCTCGGGGTAGGGTGGGTGGTAACGTTCAAATCTCAAATGGGAACTCGAATCGAAGAGGGAACTGCTCGACGCGTCACTGTGGGTGTATGGCCAACTACGGCTTATTATAAAAGGCAGTGCAATGCTATCTATCACGAATGAAAAAAATTGTTTCAATAAAAATTTCACGTACAATCTAATTTTGCAATGAAAAATGTGGGTCCCCATTTGAGATTTGAACGTTATCACCCTACCCTGAGAGGATGGGGGGGAATAACTTTTATTATATTCTTTAAAAATATTGAACAGGTATTTTTTATTTCTCTATCCAATGATCATTTCTGGAGAATTGCGGAAAATATAATTTTTTGCGATTACAGCGCCATCTATCACGAATCAAAAAAAAAGTTTCGGACAAAATTTACGTATTTTGTGGCGTAGAATCCGTATCTGCAATAAAAAATGGGGGTTTCCATTTAAGATTTCAAAGTTGCCCCCAACCCCCACCCCTAGGGGATGGGGTGGGAGGTCGAGTTTGGTATCATTGGATGTCCCCCTTCGAGACTAACAACTTTCATTAACCACTTTTTTTTTATCCAATGCATAGTTCTTGAGATATTTCAATGTCTTCAGATAAATCGTGCACCCTGTATATACCAGCAGAACATAATATACAGGGTCTGCCAAAAGTTCCGGAACGGCTAATTATTTAAAAAAATGATTGTCTAAAACAATGTTTGAAACAAAAGTTGTAGGGCTTAAAAAAAGCTATCAGATATTGATAATTGTTTGACTTTGGAATGACCTTGAGAAACGTTATCAAGGTCGACATAAAAATCTTAAGTGGAATCTCCAATTTTTTATTACACCGTCTTTTTCCACCAATTAATTTGAACAACTTCTGTCTCGAACATTTTTTTATTTGCTTAGTATTTTTTGAGATATTTAAGGATAACTTGGTAACTTTTTTAATATTTAACTTACGATATCTCGCTAACCATTTGTCGGGATAAAAAAATGGTACTAGACTTTTCTGTTCTACTTGGTCTGAAGAATATATTGTTACAACAGCGCCCTGACTTTTGTTAATTTGATGATTTTGAAATTTCGAAAGATTAATAAATTAACAAAAAAATAGAACATTATTGTACTAATATATTCTTGAGATCAAATAGAATAGAAAAGTTTAATACCATATTTTTATCCTGACAAACAGTTAGCGAGATATCGTAAGTTAAATATTGAAAAAGTTAGCAAGTTATCCTTAAATATCTCAAAAAATATTAGGCAAATGAAAAAAATGTTTCAGACAAACGTTGTTCAAATTAATTGGTGGAAAAAGACGGTATAATAAAAAATTTGAGTTTCCATTTAAGATTTTTATGTCGATAACGTTTTTTAAGGGTATAGAGATATGGAGGAGAGGAAATGGAAAGATTGGCGGGAAAGGTGTGTAGGAGAGTATGAAGGGGAGAGGGGTGGCCCGAGAACTGGAAGGAGAGGGTAATAGTCCCAGTTATTAAGAATGGAAAAGGAGATAAGGTGACAGAATATAGGGGAGTAACACTGATGCCATCACTATACAAAGTGTACGCGGCAGTATTGGCAGAAAGACTAAGGGAAGAAGTGGAGGAAAAAGGGATGCTGTCAGGAAGCCAAACGGGATTCAGGAAAGGGATAGGAGCAATAGACCAGATGTACACGTTGAACTATGTGATAAACAGGCAGTTAGGAAAAAAGGGAAGGAAGTTGACAGCAATATTTGTGGATTTAAAGGTCGCGCTTGATTCGGTGGATAGGGAGGGATTAATAGGAGCGATGAGGGAGAGGGGAGTGAGGAAAGGACTGATGGACAGAGTAGAGGAAATTCTTAGGGATACAAAGAATAGGGTAAGTATAAGCAGGACAATGGGGGAAGAGTTTTGGACGGCAAGAGGGGTTAGACAGGGATGCCCACTGAGCCCAATATTGTTCAACACAATGCTAGCGAATTTAGAGGAAGAGATTTCGAAGGGGAGGTGGGGGGGGTAAAGATAGATGAAAAAAAAGTGTATATCCTATCCTATGCAGACGACATTGTAATGATGGCAGAGGAGGAGCAGGAGATGAAAATGATGATAGGCAGGCTAGAAGGATATCTAGAAGGAAAGAGGTTGGAATTGAATATAAGAAAGACAAAAATGATGAGATTCAGGAGTGGGGGAGGAAGGAAAAAGAGGATGGAGTGGAGGTGGAAAGGAAAGAAACTAGAGGAGGTAAAGGAGTACAGGTATTTGGGATATGTGATAAAATAACGGGGGACAGGAGGCACAGGTGAGAGAAATAAATAGGAAAGCAGTGGTAGTGATGAGGGAAGTGTGGGGTATAGGAAAAAGACTGTGGGGAAAGGACTGGGGAAGAAGGATATGGTTATATGACAAATTAGTGTGGACGGTGATGGGATATGGAGCAGAGATATGGAGGTGGAAAGAAAGGAAGGAAATGGAAAGGACGCATGAAAGATATGTAAGGTGGACGATGGGAGCAGAATGGAGTACGCCAGGCTACATGATAAGAGAAGAGATAGGGAGAGAGAAGATGAGGGGGAGAGCAGGAAAAATGGCATGGAACTTTGAAAGGAGGCTGCAAGACGGCAAAGGGAGGAAGTGGCAAGAGGATGCTGGAAGGAGATGAGAGAGAGATGGGGGAGGGAGAAAATAGTGGGAAGATGGGAACAGGAGAGAAGGGAGTTTATGAGAGAGAGGGAGATAGGAAGGGAAGAGCAGGGCGGAGAGAGTATGAGACAACAGAGGAAAGAGACAGGGAGGTGCAGAAGGAAGAAAGATGGCAAAGAATAAGAGAATCCAGGTACAATAAGTGATACAGGTATATAAAGGGGGAGGGGATCCCGGCATATTTGAAAAAAGGATGGGCAGAGAAAAGATGGAGAAGGGTATTAAGGTTTAGGATGGGCAACGTGATAAGGGAGGGGAGATACTGGAAAGAACAAGAAAGGAGGATATGTAGGATGTGTGGAGGGAGGGTGGAAACGTGGGAACACGTGTGGGAAGAATGCACGAAATAAGGGGAAGGGGAAGGAGAGAGATGGGAAAGCGTGGTGGAGAGGATGCTGGGAGAGGAAGGGGAGGGAGAGAGATGGATGAAGGAGGTGGAGCAATGGAGGGAGGGAAGGAATTTGGAGGAAGGGAGAGAGGAAAGTGAATGAAGGAGCGAATGAGTGAGTGAGGAGAAGGAATGAACGAGAGGAAACGGAGGTCAGCGATAGACGATAAGGTAGATGATAAGATAGATTAAGCAAGAGTAAGAAATATGCGTGCGTAGAATAAGCGATTAGTTATAAGTAGTTATAAGTAGTGGTAAGATAGTTTTTAAGAATAGAGGAGGGGGGGTGTGTGTGTGTATGTGGAGGGGAGGAGCGGGCGGGTGCGTGGGGTGCGTTGGGGGATGGGAGGGATGAGATGGGGCAGAAGTTTATAGAAAATTGTAACCCCGATGGGGACTCAATAAACTCATACATACATAACATTTCTCAAGGTCATTCCAAGGTCAAATAATTCAATATCTGATAGATAAATATCAATATCTGATAGATTTTTTAAGCTCTACAACTTTTATTTTAAACAATCATTATTTTTTTTAAATAATTAGCCGTTCCGGAACTTTTGGCAGCCTGTATATTATCGTAAAATTGTAATTTTATGTGTATATGTGTATGTAAATTAAACGAATTTAGAACTATAGGATACACAGTGCCTTTAATCTTTCGAATGTTATAGATATATACGTGCGCCTGACAAACGTTATTGATGCAAACTATGAAAGCATATGTGCGTTTGACAAATTTCTTCGGTTCATTTTTTTGACACAAGTAACAGTTATTAACTGTTGCGATGAATAATTTATATTCATGTTTCTTTACACATACTAAGGCTTCTGAATATTGGCTGCGGTTATTTTGATTTACGAGTCAGAAGCCAGAAAATGCACGCCAAAAATTTCTGCAAAGTACATTAAAAGAAAGAAATATATCTAAAAGGTGACACTTGCAATTAATTAAGTATATACGACTGCTTGTAAAGTACTTGGAACATTTCTTTCGCTCTGACAATCAATAAATTACTGTAAAATTAACGTGAATCGTGAGGACAGGTAAGGTGAGCTGCATGTCATATTAATTTTGATATTTATTGTTAGAGCGATGATTTATTGTTAGAGCGAAAGGGAAGTATCCAGAATATTTTATAGGTATACTTAGCAGATTGCAAGTGTCATTTTTTCAGGATATATCTCTTTATTTCGACGTATTTTGCCGGAATTTTGAACATGCATTTTTTCGCTTCTGACATCATAATGAAAATAGTTACGGCAACTTTTTGGGAATCTTAATAAACAAGTTTGGTTATTTAGGTTTCACTCGTCTCAGTTCACTGTTTTCGATTATTCAAGAAGCTTTTTCACTACTTGATTTACGATAGTCTAAATCTAAAATATTCCATCTTCAGAAATTGTTTAGCCTTGGAATATTTTGCTCTTAAAGAGTTAAAATCAGTAGGTAGAATCTCATTTGAAATCTGATCGTAAAATTTTAAATTCAAGAACAATATCAGTCATTCCTATTTAATGTTTACCTGCAGAGAATTGCAAATAGCTTCCTTGAAGTGATCGATTGTGACGAAATCGGAGAAAAACGGCAAGATATCTTCTATTCTCACGAGATCGCAATGCTGCAAAAATTCCATTGCTTGCTGTATGTCGTCTTTTTCTCGTACCACATGCTCCGCTGAAGAAAAGAATGCAATTAAAAAATCACATTGCACAATTGCTAATTAAATCTTAAACTAAAATGTTTAAGCGCGCGCTCATGCGCAGAGATTGACGAAGATCAGATTCCTTAGCAGAATCAAATTAATTATTGACAAAAAAAGTTTATACCTATCTTCAACCACAATTTCTTTCTCAACTCGTCATCATGATCGGATGGCATGGCGGCGATTTGCTTGGCAAGATCCACGCTAATCGTAAGAGCGAGATCTACAGCGGTGGTCCACAAACCAAGCAATGCTGACAATTGCACGCAGGCTTCCGTCAATCTAACTTCTTGACACAATCTTAATGCATAATGTACGTCATAATGTACCATATTGATATCTTGACCTGGAAATATAAGACACGCTCTTTTTCGCTGACTTAATACTCTATACTTTCAGAACTAAAAAAGAGTTTATTATAATTGTTAGAGATTGAGAGATTGTTATATTGAGATGATTGTTATAAATTTAACAGAGAATTATCATCAATTAAAAAGTGATTACTATTGATTAAAAATAGAATTGTACAGGCGTACAATTTAGACTTATTTAAAAAAAGAGGAAAAGGATACAAGAATATAGTAGAGAATAAAAGCGAAAAAATAAACCAATAATATTGAAGGATCGTCTCGAAAATATTCTCCAGTAAATAATTTGGGGTGAATCAAATTAGATAAACGTAAAATTGATTTCTACCATTATGCGGCTGAATCAAATCTCACCAAATCGAATTTTAAGGACGAATCAGTCCTTTAGGAACGGAAGTAACAAATAAACGATCCAAGTCTGCGAGCCTAGCCAGGAATCATCTATTGACAACGAAACGAGTTTTGCGAGTTTTGAAAGTCACATACAAATACAATCAATTCGTAGAATGTGACATGTGCCATGTGTCTTATACTGAGAAATAGCTCTAATGCTCTTCTTACATTAATGTTTTATTTGATTCATCTTGATTCAGATTAGCTTGCCGACTCACGTTCTTAATGGATTAGTTTTTCATAAAACTTTAAATATGCACCTTGAGAGCTTATGTATCGCATCACTTCGTCCTGCTTATAACGGGCGTATAAGGACAATAGAAAATTGTGAATCGCTTGCTCTTGCGAGCCCTGTTTGTACACGCAGAATTCTAAATATTTTATGATTTCTTTAGCCTGTCACAAACACGACAGCATATTAGTATATCATCAGCATAGCTACGAATTCAAATTCATTCGAAATTAAAAATAAATATAAGATATCGTTCTTTACGTGTTTCTCATCACTGTTGCATGAGACCAAAGCTGGTAGTAGCTTGACCGGCTTCAGTAATGAACCTTGTGAGATCAAAGCAGCAATAGTGGGTCGTGGCAATTCCTGTAGCAGGATTCCAGCGAACTGATAGAAGAGATCCTTATTGCTCTGATTTTTAAGTACCCCAAGTGCCCCTATATAGTCACTCTTATACAGATTTTGGCGAATTACTTCTTCATAATTGCGGTGCATTACTGTTAAGTTTATTAGATTGTCTTTATCGCCGTGACTTGCCATCAAATCATATATCGTGTTGCGGTTTTTCCTGATGCATTCCTGCAACCAAGAATTTAAATTAGTACTTAAAATAATGAGTCAATTCATTCTTGTTTCGCTAAATGCATAAAGATATGAAATGTTACAAAAAATTTCGATATTTAGACGAAATACCTCAACTTTAGGAATAGCGAGAAACTGATCAAACTGATTCTGCAATTCTATATATTGCGGATCGTGGCGGTAAGATGTGTTACTGCTACGCAAAGCACCCATTTGATTCATGAACAGCTCAGTCACCCAAATAACGATCATTGTTATCTGCGTTTTATCTTGCGTCTTGAAACCATCGAGTTTCTAAATGTAAATATATAATCGAATTAACTTTATTAAAATGCTTTACCAGCGAACAAAATTACAATACGAAAATATGAAATATTAAAAACAGAGAATATGAAATATATATTAAAAAAGAATAAAAATGAAGCATTATTGGGGTGCGTTCTGTTTCATGCATATGCGCGCATTTTTTATAGTATATGTGACATAAATTATAGATAAATGCGCGCATATGCGTCAAACGGAACGCACCCATGGAAACAATGGTCGCGTTCAGCGGAAAAAACTGCTCCGCTACCGTTCCGTAGCAAACGTCTCTGATTGGTACGTCTGTTCGGACCTGCCAAAGATTTAAAAGAATTCTTCAATCATGAACATTTGCTACTGAGTGGTAGCGGAGCAGTTTTCTCCGCTGAACGTGACCAATGCAATCAATCCAGCGGAGAGAGACTATCGAGTTGCAATTGTATCTATTGGAACGAAGATGAACATTTCTTAAACATAAAAAGAGTACCTTGCGCAGGAACGTCTTCAGGGCTTCAATTTGCCACTCCTGCAGGAACTTTAAAGATATCTCCTCGAAAGAAGAGTGCGTATCCGCATATATCAGCGCACTCTTTTCGTATCTGCAAGTTAAATTTCCAAATATCATAAAGGGGGGAGGGAGAGGGGGATCAGATTAAGCAAAATATTTACGGAAAAAAATAATATTTCACAGAACTTACTCTTTATTCTTGAAGAGCATTTCTGCTTGTTTTACAAGTACTTGATCAATATGCGCGGGATTATCCTTACAATATTGCTTAGCGAGTTCAAACTCGCTCTTGTCCACATATACCTGAAATAACCTCGAAATATAATATGTTGATATTCATATTCAAAACACATTTCTATTCTCTCTCTCTTTTTTTTTGTATCTTTACCTGCCAGACATTTCTATCTTCTTTTGTAACTCTGTATTTGAAGACAGCTCGTTCACTATAAGCCCAAATTGATCTTGTCGCGGGGTCTTTGGTAATGCCGATCAATTTGCCGACTGCCTATATACGTGAAATCATATGTGGTAAATGTTTTAGTAACAAGGTCGAAAAATTGCCAGGCTAAGGATACAAGAAGATAATATGAAACAACCAATTTTATCGTTTCATACAATTATCCATTTCAATATTTTTAGAGTGAATTTTTCTATATCTAAAAAAAATATGGACGTTTGTCCTTAATGTGATTTAACTGCGATTTAATATACATTGATTTTTTCATCACCAGTTATGGAATATTGCACAAAAATCGAACTCCAATTTAAAAAATAAAAAATCACTCCCTTAGCCCTTAGTTTCTAATGATCATTGCTCATTATTAAAATTAAAGTTCAATTTGCATAATCACCAAAAATGAAGCGATTTCTATAGTGTCAAATTGCAGTGTTGAGGACAAAATTCTAAATATGTTTTCAGTGGTATAGAAATATGAATTCATCGTTCTAAAAAAAAAAAGTGTATATATACAGGGTATCCCATTTTAATACGGCCGGCTGAATAAAATTCGAGGATATTTTCCAGAAAAAAATGTCAGACAAATGTTGCTCAGTTCTAAGGGGGACATTCAATGCCATCAACAATTTTGACCTCGAGTGAAGGATTCAAGGTCATTCAAGATCAACTTTTTTTTCTTAAATGGGAACCCCTATTTTTCACATCGGCAATCGATTCTACGTAAAAAAAAATGAAACTTTTGTCTGAAGCATTTTTTTTATAACGCAAACTAGTTTCACTTATTCAGCCTCCAAAATTGAAATTTTCAAACATTCTGAATTTTTTACTCGAGAATGGTGGGGTTTGGGGGGAAATTGCAGAAGACAAAAAGTTCTTGGAATGCTGCAAGGAATTCACTCGAATTTTCGCATAGTTGATCGTGCACTTTTTTCCGCCAATGTTCTACCTGTCAGGAGGTACCTCGAAATTTGTCAAAATTGTTGATAGCATCGAATGTCCCCCTTAGAACTGAGCAACATTTGTCTGACATTTTTTTCTGGAAAATATCCTCGAATTTTATTCAGCCGGCCGGATTAAAATGTGACACCCTGTATATATGTTTTCCTAGATACACATACACACACATACAGGGTGCACGATTTATCTGAAGACATTGAAATATCTTGAGAACTATACATTGGATAAAAAAAAGTGGTTAATGAAAGTTGTTAGTCTCGAAGGGGGACATCCAATGATACCAAACTTGACCTCCCACCCCACCCCCTGGGGGTGAGGGTTGGGGGCAACTTTGAAATCTTAAATGGAAACCCCCATTTTTTATTGCAGATACGGATTCTACGCCACAAAATACGTAAATTTTGTCCGAAACTTTTTTTTTGATTCGTGATAGATGGCGCTGTAATTGCAAAAAATTATATTTTCTGCAATTCTCCAGAAATGATCATTGGATTGAGAAATAAAAAATACCTGTTCAATATTTTTAAAGAACATAATAAAAGTTATTCCCCCCCATCCTCTCGAGGTAGGGTGGGTGATAACGTTCAAATCTCAAATGGGGACCCACATTTTTCATTGCAGAATTAGATTGTACGTGAAATTTTTATTGAAACAATTTTTTTCATTCGTGATAGCGTTGAATTTTTCCGAGAAACTACTTTTAGCGTTACACAGGAACAACGACGAGGACGTAGTAGTTTTATGTTCCCTTCGGGTGCTTTTTTAATGTGAGTCCCCTTGCCTCTCACAGATCGGGGTGCTTTTTTAATGTGAGTCCCCTTGCCTCTCACTGTTCAATTAATTAGAGTAAGTGTTTGAAATTTTTACCTTCAACTTCAATACACTTATTGATCCTTTTTTCAAATGACTGTACACAGGATAGAAGCATATCTGCGGGAGTTTCAGCGCAAGTGTTTCTTATGTGTTCTACCATGTTTTCACGAGTTGTTGGCACTTGTTGATAAACCTTATCTTTTAGGTTAGGTTGATAAACCTTATCTTTTTAATAACTTTTATTATGTTTTTTAAAAATATTGAACAGGTATTTTTTATTTCTCAATCCAATGATCATTTCTGGAGAATTGCGGAAAATATAATTTTTTGCAATTACAGCGCCATCTATCACGAATAAAAAAAAAGTTTCGGACAAAATTTACGTATTTTGTGGCGTAGAATCCGTATCTGCAATAAAAAATGGGGGTTTCCATTTAAGATTTCAAAGTTGCCCCCAACCCCCACCCCCAAGGGGTGGGGTGGGAGGTCGAGTTTGGTATCATTGGATGTCCCCCTTCGAGACTAACAACTTTCATTAACCACTTTTTTTTATCCAATGCATAGTTCTCGAGATATTTCAATGTCTTCAGATAAATCGTGCACCCTGTATATTAAAATAAAAGAAAATAATTATTAAATGAGAAAATAAAAATGATTGTTTCATTTAATTCTATCATCTTTTTTATATCCTAGAATTGGAAACTTGTAGACCTTATTATGTATATCTTACGATAGAACTCTGTGTAACTAGTTATTTAGCACAATCATATAAGTTGCGATAAGTATAATCGCACTGATTACGTACATCATTGTAAATGTCTTCGAATATTAATTCTTGGTTCAACAGCGATATGCCTTTTACGTGATCTGGATATAATAGCAATGCATGAAATTCTGTCAACACAAAGGATAACGGCGTCGAAGTAGTCTGCGACAAATTGCTACCTATGAGACTTGTTTCCGGACATGTCAACATCTGCTGATTGATCAACACATTGTTTCCCTCAGATTTTGCGTCTACCTAAAGACATATAATTTCGTATTCTTCGTTTTTATTTTGATCCTTTCAAAATATTTAGAACAGGTAAAATAACATAGTAGTTTTACTCATGGTACAACCTGAGCATATAGAATACCAGTCTCTGTCAGCCATCCGAATGACTTTGGTAAAACACCCAAAGAAGGATAATAAAATTGCATCTTTGAATATGGCAAGGAACTTATTACTTCACTGAAACTTTCTGTAACAATTACGCAATTACTTTTTGTTCAAACAAATGTTATAATAGAGTAAACAAAATTGTGCGAGTGACAGTGATGATTGGTTCAATCGTAGCAACATTTTATCAAATCTTCATTACGAAATCTATACGAGTCATATATCAGGATTTAAGAGAAATACTTTCTTCGTAACTGTGTAACATTATTTATGTTCTCTGTACCTTGCGCGTTCAGATATTTGTAAAAGACTTGTTGCAGAAGGGGCTTTTCCTCGGTATTAGCAATGGCACCAATATATTGATAAATGCGCATAAGAGTAGTCACGATGATCATATACTTGTCGGAATTAGGTAATTTGTGAAATTCTATCCCAGTGATCGGAGGTTTGCTATTTTTTCCTACATCGAATACCTAAAACCATAATTTCTCGAAAAAAACATGCCATATTCGGTTTTTTATATATGTACGCACACAAGGAGTTCCATTATATCTTTGACATTAGATATTTTGATAAGGTAAAGTTTCCTCGACAAAAAAAAATGTTTCAGACAAAAGTTGTAGATCTGAGACAGCAGGGTGAGGAGCTAAAAGGGGCGTACAATGATATTATCGCTTCATTAAAATATTCTCACAAAGATTATTTAAAACTAAATAGTCGATCGCTGTGATAAGATAAAGCAGGTATACACGAAAAAATTCAATATTTTGCAATTGTATCGACAAATTAGTGTGCAAAGGTTAATATTATCAATGAAGTTTTCTTTCCTTATTTTATATACGAAAACATTCAGATGAAGTCATTGAAAAATTAATATTTTCCGAGGTGTATTTTATATATGATATACTGAAAAGTATCAGAGTAAAAATAAGTAAAGTTATAAGTTGATGAATTTGTGTCACAAAGAGGCACAAATGCGTGAAATATGCAGTATAATGTACAGATGATAAATATATAATGTACAAATGTATAAAAATGGAAGGAAAAAATGTAGAACTCACCAGTCCTCCTACCTCTTTTGTACCATAAAGAGGCAGATAATTCGGAAGCTTTGTACAAAAAAGAAACGATAAGGAAGAAATGCTGAGGAGATTAATGTTATGACCAAATAACCAAGCTGATGTTAGTCGATGTGTTAGATATAAAATAGAGATAGAACAATTTTATCAGTGCACTTGAAAAGAATGCATACCTGACGCCAATATTGTTCCAAACTAGTGTTAAAAATCTTGTCTGTTTCCAATCCAATCTCTGTTTCAAAAATCAGGCCTTTGGATGTTCCCAATAAAATGGATCCTGAACTTGTGTCCGAAGTGTTGGAAAAGTTCCAGCCAACAGCAGTGATCTCATGACCCTTGAACTTACCAGCTTGCTTGAGCTTGGTTGTTTTCCTATGTAAGTAGTACAATTCAGGAGGAGGACTATTGTCTCCGTGTCTCGGTACTAGGGTTACAAGCAAATGATGGCCCAATGGATCCAGAAACAAACCAGACATTTTCATGGTCAATGTATATTTGGATATGTCGATTTCTGCAAGCATAAATACAGCTTGATTTTCTACTGAGAAATGAAAAATGCTCTGTTAACAGAGTTTATTAACTTTGTTTATTAATCATGCTCATACATATTTACAATTGAAATTCGTAACAATTTTACATATTTAGATATTTAATATTTAATAAAAAAAAAACAAAATAAATAACAGATTGATTGTGAAATACCCTCAGTCTTGTCAGGCTGTTTCATATCAATGCGTAGTAGAATGTTGTTAGCCATAGCAATCACGATCATGTTACTACTAACAACTAAATGAAGAATTTTGTCAGATGGCAAAAAGTTAACCTTCTGCTTGGTGAAAATTGGGCCATCATCTTGGAGCTTCATTTGAATAAAGCCTGCTGTACTCTGTAAAGTTATTTTACAAAAGTATCGATTATACAATCATGTATCTTTGCGTTAATGCAATTGGATATAGGGCTAGTAACAATCATAGCTGGATCATATTGTATAATAATGAAATTTATGAGAGAATAATATCATAAATATAACACACATGTTGCAATTTCTTTTCATTGAATCTTTATAATACTAATATTTCTAATTTATTTAATATTATATTTTACTCAATATTATCATCAATATGTATAAAAAATTGATTGTATATATATATATATATACACATGTATAATTTGTCTCGTTAGTTAACATTTGACAGTAAACTTACAATATCTGGGCGAATCGGTGGTACAAGCACCTGTTTGGAGCGCTGAGAAGCTTGCTCATACTGATCAAACATTGATGTCATTTTGATTGTTAAGTAAATCTGTCAGAGTTGTAAATACAAATAAAATATTAAAACAATCGACATACTGTGAATTATTCAACAGTAAAAATTAAACAGTTCGTGATATTAGCAATAAAAAGGATAACGCAGAATGATATAAATAAAAAATATATATATATATTTTATAATATTTAATACATGATATATGTGATAGTTTTACGAATAAGAATATAAAAATTTCATCTAACTTGATCTTACCGATTATATTTTGAAAAAACAGGCAAAACAGCCTAAAAATTTAAATACTTTTTAGAAGGGCACAAAATCATGATAACATATTTTGAAAAGTTCGAGCAGATATATGCAAGCGTAGTTAAATATTAAATTGTGTTTCGTTTTATTAGCAAGAGACATCAGCTGTTTACTGCTTGGATATCATCACGTGATCAATAGTCTGTTCTTTTTAGTTGCACTACTGAACTGATGCAATAAATTAAAGTGGGTCTGTTCTTTATATCTAACTTATTGCACTGTTGAACTAGTGCAATAAGTTAGAGTGAGAAAAAATATAGTTGTCTCATTTTAACTTATTGCACCAGTTCAGTAGTGCAGCTATAAAAAACAGACCCAGTGAAAAAAATATAGTTGTCTCATTCTAACTTATTGCACTAGTTCCGCAGTGCAGCTAAAAAGAACAGACCACAAATGTCGTTCTGGCTGCATTCCGATATTCAAGCCCTAAACACAATGCCAGGCAACAGGCAATAAGAATAAAAATAGACCAATCACAATAGATTATTCTTGTAATAATCAATTGTGATTGGTCTATTTTTATTTTTATTGCCTGTTGCCTGGCATTGTATTTAGAGCTTCACTGTCAGCATGGAAAATACCCAGTAAACAATCTGTACGCAGACTGACGTCAGAGTGGCGACAGATTCGAGCAGGCACTGTTGACAGATCCGTAGACATTTGTGTCCGCGCACGGCTTGTGAATTGTCTCGACAAAGCCTGTGTACGGTCGCGGAATAAAAGGTTTGTTCTTTTTCGAAGTACACTGCACGTAAACTGCATTAGATCTGTACTGAACTGAACTAGGACAAGGCCTGTTCGTTTTGGCTGCACTGCTGAACTGGTGCAACAAGTTGAAGTGAGAAAACCTACGTTTGTCTCACTTTAACTTAATGCACCAGTACAGCAATGCAGACAAATGGTCTGTTCTTTTTAGCTGCACTGCGGAACTAGTGCAATAAGTTAGAATGAGACAACTATATTTTTTTTCACTTTAACTTATTGCACCAGTTCAGTAGTGCAGCTAAAAAGAACAGACCAAAAACGAACAGGCCTACAGACTGGGGCCTGGGGCAGACAAAGGTCTGTTCGTTTTGTCTACATTGCTGAACTGGTGCATTAAGTTAAGGGTCTGCACATAGATATAGTAAGAATAGACTGCGTGTGAAGGCCAAAACTTGAAGATCAAGTAGAAAGAGACGAACAATAGGTGCCGAGTATCTTTCTCTCTCACACAAGGAAAGGAGTGGGGAAAGAGTGGGGAGCGAAAAAGAGTAGTAAAACAGCTGTATGCGGTTGAAAAGAGGTGCGTAGTCGGTTCCCAGTTTATTTGCTGCACGATTTAGAAGATGCTCTGTTTTATAAAGTTAGTATCAACGTATTGTTACGCGCTTAATTTCCCTGCGATCACAAGCGCATGTCGGTCATAGCAGGATTAAGGGTAGCGTGAAGGTTAGAATCACATTGGAAGATCTTCTCTAACTGCTCTGTCCGCGTTTCTCTGCAGCTTTATTTCTCTACTTTCCTTCTAATGTCTCGGACATTCGTTTCGCATTTTCATTTAAGAAAAACTGATTATTCTGTCAGTGTTGTGTCAGTGCTGGTATGTTGCTAAAAGTTTTTGTTGACTACAGTTAATCGAATCCGTCGACGCACCATAGCATATACATATTCACGGAGAAAACAAGGAATAAAATAATTTAAAAAATGGTTACTACGTGCTATATTTGTGGTGTGGAAGAAAACCCTCTTTATCCACGATCATTTCATAAGTAATTTAAAAAATATATTTGTATTCAATATGAATGTAAACATATCGTAATTAATAATATATATACACATATATATAAGTGAAAATATATATGTAAAAAATTTACAGAATCCCAAAAAATGAAGAAATGCAAAAAAAATGGTTTCACGTTATTGGCCGTGATGTATTTTACAAAGGAGCAAAAATATGCAGTGACCACTTTACAAAAAATGACTATCATGAAATGAATGAATATAAACAAAATAAAATATTGAGAAAGACTGCAGTTCCATTAATTTTCGCGGAAGAAAATTGGTGAGAATGTTAAATTATAAATAAGAACATACATGTAATAATCTTACAGGAAGATGCAATAAATCCATTACATTGAAATATTTTGTTTTGTAGTAAACATGTGGAGGAGGATACAGATACCAATTTAAGCACAGATATAAATACAAATACAGCAGAAAATAATGACATAGACAATGAAAGAAATAGGTAAGAAACACTAAAGATACACTAAGATATACACCTAAAGGGAAAATAAAGTTATCGTAATATATAAGATAAAACATTAATGTATGTGAATATTTTTTGTTTTATAGTGAAAATACGAGTAAGAATTCCATTACGGACACAGATGCAGATATACATACACATGTAGCAGAAGATGTTAATAACATAAATATCCATAGCAACCACAGTAATAATCACATTAGAAAAAGGTGAGATATCTAAAGATTTAAATAATTTTTCCTATCGAGTATTATTCCAACAAATTATAAATTATCAAAATTTTATTTTCAGGAAATTGTCGCAAGAGAATTTTAGAAACTCAAAAATTAAAAAAATATTTGTAAACACTTCTAAACATGCTACAAAATGCTTCCGTAAAACAGATTTTGTGTCTGATGCAAAATGGGAGCAGTTTGTAAGATATGTATCATATATTCGAAATGAAACAAAAAATATGTGGCAAAAGAAACACCGTATGCAGAAGAAAGTTTTAACTTATAAAGATTTGCTTCAGGACCTGAAAAGTAAAAACTTTATAACAAATAATGGTATACATGCAATCAAAGTAAGTTGAGTTTAGCTATTTTTCATTCGCAGAAAGATTTGAAATTCACATTGTCCATAATGTTTATTCTTTTATAAGAAAGTTCATGATAACTCTTCAATCACAATGTGACTTCATCATAATATTGACTCTTATTGAAAGGTCCATGATAATGAAGCAAATGGTAGAACAATACTTGATTTCTACATCATGTTAAATTATGGTATAACAAATGTTGTGCGTATACATATACCCTCTCAATCTACAAATCTACAAATGCACTAATGATGTTATATCTTCGTTCTAAATAAGTTATTATGTATATGTCTATGCGTACTATGCAAATAAGCAAATTTGTTAAATAACATTTTAAGTATTCTCCATGAAAAAGCAATTTACGTTGTTAGTATTACATTTGATGGAGCAACTTCTAATATTGCAATGTGCGAGATACTAGGCGCACAGTTAAAACACGTCAATTTTGAACATATTGTTCCGTATTTTAAGCATCCTATTGTACAACCATTTGTTTCCTTGATTTCTTCTGTTTTTATATCTATATTTTGTACTTCCTTTTTCTTTATTTAAGATATATTGTCACCTATTATGCAACAGTTGCTACTTACAATGTTAAATAAGAAGCGAAAGAAGTCGTTCCCCGAAAGTTTAAAAAGTTTTGCATGCACGTTACATTTTCATTCGCCTGCAGCATATTTGTATGTAAGAAAAATGTTTTTAAAAAGTTTACCTCACCCCAGTACACTGCGCATGTGGACGCAGACAATTCGTAGTAATTCGGTATATCTGAACAATCGTTTAAAACTATACTCGATAAGGTGCAAAATGCTAGAGAGAAAGGAAAAAATTAAGTTTTCAATATAACTTTTGATGAAATGAATATTAAGAAAAAAGTTGATTGGGACGGCAAAGAATTACACGGTTTTATTGAAACGGGTATTAAAGATAGTAAGTCTGACAGTCTGCCACTTGCTACCCATATCCTTCTTTTTATGTTAGTGTGCATAAATGATCATTTTAAAATCCCAATTGCATTTTACGTTATCGAGGCATTAAATGGTAAGGAAAAAGCAAATTTGTTAAATAACATTTTAAGTATTCTCCATGAAAAAGCAATTTACGTTGTTAGTATTACATTTGATGGAGCAACTTCTAATATTGCAATGTGCGAGATACTAGGCGCACAGTTAAAACACGTTAATTTTGAACATATTGTTCCGTATTTTAAGCATCCTATTGACAAATCTAAAAATATTTATATTTTTTATAATGCATGTCACATGTTGAAGCTTGTGAGGAATGCAATTAGTAAAGGGGTTATTAAAGATAAAGACAAAAATGTAATAAGTTGGAACTTTCTGAAAGAATTAGTAAATGTGCAAACTGTGGAAAAATTACATGTTGCCAATAAAATGCGAAAAAGGCATATACACTTTTTTAATGAAAAGATGAAAGTTAATCTAGCAGCACAAACATTAAGTAATTCTGTGGCTGATGCATTGACGTTTTTAGAATATGAATTAAAAGAACCAAGATTTATAGGAGCTTCAACTACTGCAACATTTTATAAAACTTTCAATGACATTTGATATCTTAAATTCACGTAACATATACAATAAAACTGAAAATAAACATGCAATAATAAAAAATACATTATGTACTATTAAAGATAAAGCTAAAACTTTTATGCATTACATTGCTTCCTTAACAATAAATGATGTTCCCGTATTACAAAGCATCCTCAAAACAGGTTTCATTGGATTTATAATTAATTTGCAGAATGTTATTGCATTAGCAGAAGAATTATTTAATGTAAATGCAATAAACTTTCTTCTTACTTATAAATTATCACAGGACCATATCGAAACTTTTTTTTCATTGATTAGAAGAATGCATGGTTGGAATAATAATCCTAGCGTAAAGCAATTTAAGGTGTCATATAGAAAAATATTGCATTTAGCGAATGTGTCAGTCTCATTGAATGCTAATTGCATTCCACAAGATACTGTATTGCTAACACATTCACATGAATCTACGAATGATATACAAACAATTAACGAACATGTAGAACAAAATAAAGATACTATTTTAGAAGAAAGATCTTTAGAAGACGAACCTTCAGATCTTATCTTTATTGAGCATAATTATGTATTACATGATAAAAAAGTTAATGAATATGCTGAAGAAATCATTGCTTACATATCAGGATATGTTGCTAAAACTATTATGAAAAGAATTAATTGTTCAGAATGCAAGCAATTACTTTCAAATAATACATATAAACAGTTGAATATAGAGCGTACCAGTAAACTTATACAGATAAAGGATCGAGGCAACTTATGTGAAGCATCAAATGATGTGATTACGATATGTAAGATAGCATATAAAATAGTACGATGTAATCAACATAGACTATTTACAAATAAAAATATTCTTGCACATATGTGAGGCTGTACGCTCCATTCCTGTGCATATATTTGACTATAATAATCATATATTCGATCAAAGTCCACTTTTTGATCACCGAAACCAAATAATTAAATTAATTTTGAAAACATTTTTTAATTTAATTTTAAAACATGAAAGTACATCATTCGCAGATTCGATACAACGAGTTCGGATGAAAAATAATAAAATAACCTTGTTCAAAAATCAATAAATAAACAACAACTTATATAAAAATATATATTTTTTTAATAAAGATTATATTACTTTGTAATATTGATATTTTTATTACAACTTTTCCACACATATTCATGTATAAAATATTTAATCGTTTCAATATAAATGTTTACACGTAGTTTATAATAATTGAAACACATTTATCTCTAAATTTTAAACGGTTTTATTTAACATTACACAACTTTTTTTAACCTAACATCATGTATATAGCACATTAGATATTACTACGCATCACTGCGCATGCGTGAGCAGAGAAAGAAAGATACTCGGCACTTGCTTTCTGTCTCTTTCTACCTGATCTTCAGTCTTCACAAGAGTACACGCGCAGTCTATTCTTACTATGTCTATGGGTCTGCAGGAGCCAGAGGCAAATCTAGTTGACTTTGAGGGCCTCGTGCGGCGAAACTGCAAACCAATGCCGTGCGCGCGAGCGCAAGAGCAGGAAGGTTGGGTCAAGTCAGTTTGACAAGGATGAACGATCGATCGCGCTGTCCTTGTCATACTTACTCGGGCATTTCGCCGACCGATACACGGCGAGAAAATGCTTTCCAGGCTTTTGGGTGAGTGAGCCAAGCGTCGCAGCGACTTACGTGCAATACCATTTTACAAATTGACGTATTTTGTCTAGCTGACGTTATATATCACCACCAAATTATTATAGCATGTTCCTTATATTATTCCCGAGATCCCCACAAAGCCAGATTTCGCAATCCGGCCGTCCAAAATTTATGAAAAATAAATGAAGCGTCCGCCGTACCAAGCATCGCAGCGAATCACTCCAAAAATTATTTTACAAGATGCAAAATTTCGCCTCGTTGACGATACGTATAATTGCTAAACTGTTACAGCATCTTCCTTGAACTATCCCTGAGGACCTTACACAGCCAGATTTTACAATCCGGCTGTCCAAAATTTATAATATATATATAAAGTATCAGCCGTACCAGAAATTGCAGCGAGTCAGGTGGAATACCATTTTACAAGAAGCAATATTTTGCCTTATTGACGTAAATATGACCATGAACTTGTTATAGTATCTTCCTACAACTATTTCCGAGATCTTTACAGAGTTAGATTTTACAAATAGGCTGTTAACAATTTATTCAATACATAAAGAAAGCGTCAGCTGTACCAAATCGCAGCGAGTCAGGTGGAATACAATTTTACAAAAACAGATATATTGCCTCGTTGACAATATATACACTCAAACGCCAAAAACCCGGTACACTAAAAATTTGGGAAAAAATTACAAAATTTCAAATGATCATAACTTGGTAAATAATGAAGATACAAATATGCGCAGAAATGCAAAATGAAGCTTGAAACGTCTTCTTTAAGAATATCTGAATGGCAATTACGCTCGGCCATTTTTTTCAAAATGGCGGATGATAAAGTGAGAGGATGCAAAATTGATAATCAAAGGTCCGTGTTTGCGATGATGCATGGTGTGCATCAGGTATCGCAGCGTAATGGGACCAAATGCACATGAAAGTATAGAGTGTTATCTTTAAAATGCTACTTTACCGAGCTCGATGTGATCATTTTTCACTGAGTTGTTCCAAATTTTGCTAAAAATGCGGTTTTCTTGTTAAATTTGCATAATTCAGTGAATAAGTATCGCATCAAGCTCTACGACGAAGTATTTTAAAGAAAACATTCTATACTTTTAGGTACTTTTCGTCCCATTGAGCTGCGACACTTACTTTGCTCCATGCGCCGTCGCACGCTCGAACCTTTTTTTAGCAACTTTTCATGTTCTCCTTTTTATCACCCGCCATTTTGAAAAAATATCGTTGCGCACAATTTCGATAGATCTTTCGAAAAGTACGGTTTCAAAGCTTTCAAACCGTTTTTGAAATTTGCTGCTAGGATATTTAGGTGTCGAGATATTCAATTTCGAATTTGCAACAAATGTCGATTCAGCGAGGCTTAAGGGGCTAAGAGGCTCTGCGGTTCGTTTGGCTCTTTCATAATTTCAATAGCCGCGTTCATTATTCTCTATACAATAATTTACACAATTTTGCGAATTGGAAATTTAATTTTTATCAAAAGTTATCAATTTTTACCCTTCAGTTACGCATGATCACTGTGGTATACACTTTAGTTCGCGAAGCTGTCCCTAGCTCTCTACCTTCTCCGTACGATTGGCCATTATGGTGCACAGCTTGAATATGCTGTTCAGGATCGTGCCTGAGTTCGCGTTGACCCAGCGCGCGGGATGCCGAGTCGCTGGACGCCACCTGAACGTCGAAATTCCCTGGCGCTCCTAGTCCACGGAGCTGCCGCGACGCGGCGATCTGGATTGTCGCGCGCGCGAGCCCCTCGGCTCGCACGCGAGTTCGAGCTGCCCAGGGCATATAAGAGTGCCCGCGGAGACAATCAGAGATTGCCTTCGTACAGCTTTTGGCCTTCGTACGGTCCAGCGCCGATAGTGGGACTATCTCTTGTACGCTGGACTTCGCGAGTTTGTCAGTACGCCGGGCTTTAACGCCTGGCTTGACTGGATTTTTCTTAAATGTATGTGCCAAGACAATAAACAAAGACAAACAATTTTCCTTTTCCGAACATGTTCACTCCGATAAGCGCTGCCTCGTGCGACTTTTCTTTTTCCGTGATCTTTTCCTTTCGAGGCGCGTTGCTTCGTGCAACTTCATCAATTTAAACCATAATTGATTGTTTCGCATCGAAATGATTGCGTCGATTATGGCGACGATAAATCCTGAAAAGGCTGCTCAAGTTATTGCTTTAATTGAAGATGGCAGAAGTCGAAGGTACGTTGCTCAGGCACTTGATTTGTCAGTGTCAACTGTGCAACGTGCTTATGCCAGGTACTTACAAACCAATTCTTTCCATAGAAGGCCTGGTTCGGGACGTCCTCGATGTACCAATCACAATGATGACCGATTTATTGTTTCAAATTCGTTAAGAGACAGACATCGAACATCTGTTCAAATTAGAAACAATTTAAGGGATGTCCGCAACATTAATGTATCCGTTAACACCGTTCGGAGAAGATTAAAGGAACAAAATCTGCTTTCGCGCAGGCCAGCAGCTGTACCTTTGCTTAAATGTCACCATCGCGTAGCTCGACTCAATTTTGCAGTTGAGCATAGAGACTGGACTTACGCAGACCGGAGCAAAGTACTCTTTAGCGATGAATCTCGTTTCTGTGTCTATTCTCCAGATGGACAAGAACGAGTTTATCGTCGCGGTGGAGAACGATTTGCAGACTGTACGGTAAGTGAGAGGCATAGCTACAATGGAGGCTCTGTAATGATTTGGGCAGGAATTTCAGCTAATGCTCATACAGATCTGCACTTTTTTGACAAGAATATGAACGCAGATGTATACGTGGAAGACATACTCATTCCGTATGTTGTTCCGTACGCACCCTTCATCGGAGAGAACTTCTTGTTTATGCAAGACAATGCTCGACCACACACTGCGAGAAGAGTGCTTGATTTCTTCGATGAAGTTGGCATAAATCGACTCGATTGGCCAGCAA